TGGTAACTCCACCACCACCACCACTACTGGTGATGGTGATGATGGTAGTAGTAGTACTGTAGTGATGACAGTAGTGGTGGTAACTCCACCACCACCACCAGTACTGGTGATGATGACAGTAGTGGTGGTAGTGGTAACTCCACCACCACCACCACTACTGGTGATGGTGATGATGGTAGTAGTACTACTGTAGTGATGACAGTAGTAGTGGTGGTAGCTCTACTGGTGGTGATGATGGTGGTGGTAGCTACACCACCATCACCACCACTACTGGTGGTGGTGATGGTGGTGGTAGCTACATCACCACCACTACTGGTGGTGATGGTGACAGTAGTGGTGGTGGTAGCTCTACTGGTGGTGATGATGATGATGATGATAGTAGTAGTACTGTAGTGATGACAGTAGTGGTGGTAACTCCACCACCACCACTACTACTGGTGATGGTGACAGTAGTGGTGGTGGTAGCTACACTGGTGGTGATGATGATGATGGTAGTAGTAGTACTGTAGTGATGACAGTAGTGGTGGTAACTCCACCACCACCACTACTACTGGTGATGGTGACAGTAGTGGTGGTGGTAGCTACACTGGTGGTGATGATGGTGGTGGTAGCTACACCACCATCACCACCACTACTGGTGGTGGTGATGGTGGTGGTAGCTACATCACCACCACTACTGGTGGTGATGGTGGTGGTGATTGTAAGAGAGGCGTCACCACGCACACGCACCGCGTGTTTCTGGCGGTCGCTATGTAAACACACGCGCGTTGCTAGGGTTATTAAAGTGTTATTATTACACATCACACACACACACATAACAAACATACACGTGCACACATAGAGACACACACACACATAACAAACATACACGTGCATACATAGAGACACACACACACTCATACAACAGAGGCACAAACACAGACACACACAAACACATAGGAAACAGATACACACACACACAGTCATACTTACACACAGATACATATTATGTATAGATACACACAATGATACACACTTATACACATACACATTGACACATAGCAAACAAACATTGCATGTGCATACATAGAGATACATCAAATAACATTGAAACTCACACACAGAATCACACGTGGTCATACAGTAGTGTACAAAGACAAAGATCCCCCGTATAGCCTCAACAGACTGTAGGGGCAAGTGCTGTTAGCGAGCACCTATGAAGGCCAGCACCACGCCCGACCGCTTTTGTCTCCCCAGTGGCGATGTTTACTGCACACCGCACCAGGTACTCATTTGAGGCTGAGTCGACCTAGGGGAGGCCCAGGACCGGTTCAGATAATCGTCACTGGTGTTGGTATACAGACGCACACACAGACACATAGACAAAGGTCCCCCGTGCAGCCTACACTGGCTGTTAGGGCAAGTGCTCTCATCCGGCACCTATGAATGTGGGTTTGTCTCCCCAGTGCCTGATGTTTAAGGCTGAGTCGACCTAAGGGAGCGCCCTGTCCGTGAGCGTGAATCGAACTTAATGCAGTGCACAAAGACAAAGACCTCCCCGTATAGCCTTGACAGCAGTGGCGGCTCGTCAATAGAGGGCGCAGGGGCGCCGCCCCCATCAATATTCAAGAAATATACATATGCAAAATTTATATAAAAATACATAAATAAAATATTTTTTTCATACGATGTGCCGGCTGGTAGTAAGAAAAGCATCAGCATTTAATAAAAACTGGCTTTAATCGGTCAACTATTTTCTATGTTTTTCAATGTGTTTCATGCGGGGCGCCAGACAAATGGATGTCTATGTGAGACTTTACATTTTCGGACAGCATGTGACCTGAAGCTGGTCTCTAATTGGTTTCTTAAAGATTCTCCTCGGGGCGCAATTCGTTGCGTCCCTGGCCAATCAGAATTGGATACATGTTATTTTATCCAATCTGATTGGTTCTCGTCACCTGTCATTCAAATTTACGCTGTAGGCCACTACTGCGAGTGCGAAGGCGACACCACTTTGACACTTGCTAGGCTGATCAAATTTTTTGTGTAAACAATGGCAGCAGTTCATCCAAATTCTGTAATTTATTTACAAAAAAAACCCTTTCACAAGGCTTTCGCTGGAATAAATAAAAAAGATAAAGGATCTCGGACCGGACCAACCCGATTTACAAATCCAGCAGCAGGCCAGTGACAGAGGACGAAGCTACACACGAAGCTTCACCCGCGCTTGTTATGAGAAACGGAGGTGGCTGGCTGGATGTGATGTTAGCAATTCTCTTTTTTGTTTTCCCTGTCTTTTATTTCAAAGTCTCGGCACTGAAGTTTTGTGGACAACGACGGGGGTAAGAGACCTCAAACATCTCTCTGACAAATGCAAACGTCATGAAAGTAGCCGCAGCCATATTGATAATAGCATGAAACTAACGTTTTTATGTTCAAGTAGGAAACATGCTTTTTGGTACTTTGGTCTGAAATGTATATAAAAGAGAAACATTTATGTTCAAGTAGGAAACATGCTTTTTGGTACTTTGGTCTGAAATGTATATAAAAGAGAAACATTTATGGTCAAGTAGGAAACATGCTTTTTGGTACTTCTTTTGGTCTGAAATGTAAATAAAGATCATCAAAATTTATATTCAAGTAGTCAAAATGGTTTTTGGTACTGCTTTATATTTATTTGCCCCCCTCAATAAAATAAAAAAAATGCGCCCCCCCAAAAATAAATATCACCAGCCGCCACTGCTTGACAGACTGTTGGGGCAAGTGCTGTGAGCGAGCACCTTACATACACACACACACAAATAACACGTGACACACACGACACACACGTGCATTCACCCCGTCTCTCGGTGCAATTCCAAGTATTCACCTCCGCATGCGTCTTCTTGTCAGCTGTTGTTTTATCTGTCAATGTCAGTGTCTCGTGATTGATCTCTCATAGCAGGGAATGCACAGAGGAATGAAACGGCTCCATCGTGGAATGATGCCTCCTTCATTTGTTTTTAGATTCAAGAAGAAGTAAATACAAACACATTCCTCCTGCGGAGGGAGCTGGTAGGAACGTCGGGTTGCTCGGTCAATGGCCTGCAGGGTCAACGGCGGCGTGGTGTATTCCGCAAATATGCCCGACTGTGAGGGCGGGCACAAGCTGGCGTGAGTAGGTTAGACGTTGAGTGTTATAAGGGCACCACGGGGTGACCAGCCCCTCCCCACCCAGCCCCACCCTCCCCACCCAGCCCATCCCCACCCAGCCCCACCCCTCCCACCCCTCCCCACCCAGCTCCTCCTCACCCATCTCACCCAGCCCCTCCCCACCCTCCCCTCCCAACCCAGCCCCTCCCCACCCAGCCCCTCCCCACCCAGCCCCTCCCCACCCTCCCCTCCCCACCCAGCCCCACCCTCCCCACCCAGCCCCTCCCCACCCTCCCCTCCCCACCCAGCCCCTCCCTGCACGACGGACACGATAATCCCCTGTGGGCTGGTGTAACCAGGAGGTTCCTACCAGTATCAACAACTATACCTATCCGGCTTCTCTACGTTATGTGGGGGTGGGGCATTGCCCGAAACGTCGCCTATTATCGATGTGTTTTTTGTCCTACAGCATTGGTTAAGTATTGCTGACACTGCCCCGATTGTGTTGATTTGTTATTTTGCGTGTGCACCACTGCCAACGCAGCAGCATCGCCAAAAAATGTGTTCTGCTCGATCAATTAGGGAGATTTAAAACTTACTTGAATATAGACAGACCCATTAGGCTCATATCGCACACGCTGTGCATTCAATTCTTTCAACTTGGAACGAGCCGCAACCACGCTACTCGCTCGCCCTCGCAGAGAGAGGGGACGACTCAAAGGCCCCAGGAGGACGAAATCAATATATTAAGGTGTTATTGACCAATTAAACTAAAACTGAACAATTTTTTTTTATTTTACCAGGTAAGGCCCACTGAGCCATACGGCTCTTTTTCAGAAGCGACACGGCTACAAACGAAGTAGCTTACCGCGTGGAAATGCATTTCAGCCAAACACTCTGAACGCACATTGATTCTAAATGTGGGGGTAACAACCTGGAGGACCCGGAGAAAAATCCCCGCGACCACGGGGAGAGAGAGAGAGACACCGCACACTCCAAATATACAGCAGCAGGCGTCCAGGTCTGGATCGAACCCTCCGCCTCCTGCATAGCAGGCGAGGTGGTTAACAATCTTGCCACCGTGGCGCCCAATAAATGAGTGTTTGCGTGACAGGAGTAAACCGGAGCACCCGGACAAGACCGACGCGTGTGAAAGGGGCCACGCTCGATCCCGTCCACATTGCACAGCTCGAGTCAACGCTTGCTGCGCCGTCCTCTCCGCGGCAAGCCCAACGTGCGCGCGCGCGGGTGGGTGGGTGGGCGGGTGGGAGGGTGGGTGGGTGGGTGGGCGGGTGGGAGGGTGAGCTGGCGGGTGGGTGGGTGGGTGGGCGGGTGGGTCGGCGGGTGGGTTGGTGGGTCGTTGGGTGGGCGGGCGGGTGGGTGGATGAGTGGGCGGGTGGGTGGGTGGGTTGGTGGGTCGGTGGGTGGGTTGGTGGGTTTGTGGGTGGGTGGGCGGGTGGGTGGGTGGATGGGTGGGTGGGTGGGCGGGTGGGTGGGTCGGTGGGTGGGTTGGTGGGTCTGTGGGTGGGTGGGCGGGTGGGTGGATGAGTGGGCGGGTGGGTGGGTGGGTTGGTGGGTCGGTGGGTGGGCGGGCGGGTGGGTGGGAGGGTGGGTGGGCGGGTGGGTTTAGGGCGGGTGGGAGGGCGGGTGGGTGGGCGGGTGGGCGGGTGGGTCGGCGGGTGGGTTGGTGGGTCGTTGGGTGGGCGGGCGGGCGGGTGGGCGGGTGGTTCGGTGGGTGGGTTGGTGGGTCTGTGGGTGGGTGGGCGGGTGGGTGGATGGGTGGGCGGGTGGGTGGATGGGTGGGCGGGTGGGTGGGTGGGTTGGTGGGTCGGTGGGTCGGTGGGTGGGCGGGCGGGCGGGCGGGTGGATGGGTGGGTGCCCCTTCTCACCTGGGCGTTGAGAGCAGAATCTCGGGCGCGCGGTACCAGCGCGTGGCGACGCATTCGGTGAGCGCCGGGTCGCCCCTCACTCCTCCTCCTCCTCCGACGCCACTGCCCGCGCCGCCCTCCACGGCGAGCGGTCCGACGGAGCGAGCGAGCCCAAAGTCGCACACCTTCACCACGCACTCGCTGTTCAGCAGCACGTTCGACGGCTGCGGAGGAGACACGGCACCGGACGAGTTACGCTTGAAACGGCGCGCCTCCGTGACCTAACGGGACGGCTTGAGAAAGCGGATTCTCTTCGCGTGCGGCGTTGAGGGAGCGGGAGAAAGAAGAAAAGTGGCTGACTGCCCACCCGCCCGCACGTACACACACTCACCTATTCACCCACTACCTTTTTTTTGTCAAGGCGCTCTTCCCCCCCCTCCAACCCAGCTTAAAAAGACGCTCCAAGCCTGGGGTTGTCATTCAGACTCTGTCTTCTCGACAGACCTGTTCTTCACCTGAGGACGGCTGCTTGCTTTGTGGCCGAAACGTCGTGAGAATTATTTTATTATGTTTTATTTTTATTATTTTATTACTTCCCTTCTACGTGACTTTACCAAAAGAACCAAGAAGATGAAGACACCCACTACCTGTTCACTTTGCGCGGCAACGTGCCCGCACACCTGCTCACCCGTTCACTTACTCACCCACTCGCATACCAACCCACTCGCCCACCTCCTCACGCACTCGCTCACCCAATGGCGATGTTTACACACCACACCAGGTACTCATTTGAGGCTGAGTCGAACTAGGGGAGGCCCAGGACCGGTTCAGATATTCGTCACTTGGTGTTAGCCGTGAGCGGGGATCGAACTGCCGTCACTAGTTTCGTAGCTCGGCGCGCATACCGCTACACACTAGCGCTCTGCCACAAAGACGAAGAAAATCCCCTATATAGCCTCAAACAGATTATAGATTTGAAGCTTTCGTGACTGCAAGGAATCATATTCTTAGTTTTTTTCCTAACAGCGTGCTTCAGCCGCACCGAACCTCACAAAAATAATATTCAGGGCCTACCTTGGCTCCTCCCACCCTCAACCAGTATATCTACAAGTACTGTGTTCTTGGAATTTCTCTCACTTGATACAGCTATCGTGCTGTGACAGTTCCACCTGAAGACGGAAGCTTGTGTTGCCTCCGAAACGTCGTGATTTTATTTTTATTTTACTTATATTAATTTTAATTTTTTACCTATGTGACTTTACCGAAAAAACCTAAGAATATCAAACAGACTTTTCAGGGCAAGCGCGCACGCACAACGGCAAAGACGGCGGCAACAACAAGAGCAGCCACCCCGGCTCCGGTTCAACGGCGGGTCATGTCGCTGCGACTCCCGTGCCAGGCTAGGTGCGCCACGAGACCTTGTGATCGCGGTGGATGACGTTGCCGGAGTGGATGTACTTGGTCGCCTTGAGCAGCTGGTACATGATATAGCGCTTGTGGATGTCCTTGAGGATTCGCCCCTTCCTGATCACAGCGTGCAGGTCCGTGTCTGCAGTGACACGCGGATGGGAAGCACGAACGAATGAATTGATGAATGCAGGGGTGTCCAAACTTTCTGCAAAGAGGGCCACATTTGATAAAGTGAAGATGCCCGGGGGGCCAATAGTTCCTTTTGACATTGTTTTAACCACAAAAGTTACGTGGAAATACACACTGTTATAAAAAAAATTCATTGTCACAATTACCTTGATTTTTCAAATGACAATGTAACCAAATATAAGCCACTCAGGCAGACGGGAACAACTCTAAAAACGCAATTCTGTCTTTCATTCAGTCAGATAACATTGAACAAACCGTATAGAATACCTTACATTTCCATGAGTTTTATGATGTATTTATTCTGACAGAGCTGGCGAGCCATAACTAACACGTTATAAGACCGAAGCTGCGGGTCGTATGAAATCTGTCCGCGGGCCGTGATTGGCCCGCGAGCCGGACTTTGGACATGCCTGGATTAATGCAAGGCTTGCGGAGTGTCACGAGGGACTAACCCATGAGCTCACAGTTGACGAGGCTTGTTGTCATCACCAGCGAAACGTCATGCGCGAATTGTAAATGTTGCAGGTTTATTGTCAACACACCGGTGTGCTCAACTAGTAACTAATTGGCACGTTTTGTTTATGTGACAACCCTTACTAATTGGCTGTGGCGGGTTTAACGACAAACTTACGCGATCCAACCCAAGAAAAACTTTTTTTATGGATAATATTGCTCGTGAAAGCCTACCTGTTAAACTGAAAAAAAAAATATTCAGGCGAATTTACGAACAGACAGACAGAAGGGGTGGATGGGAATAAATGAAAGGGCATTGAATGCAAAGGAATTGACAATCTGATAGATGATGGTCGGGAAAGCAGGATAACTGGAGGATGCACAGACGAACGCAAAGGACTGAAAGGAAATTGAAATTGAAAGTGGTGGAATTGACAATCCGACGGATGATGGTCGGGAATGAATACAGGAGAATTGTAGGATGCACAGATGAATTAAAGGGAATGGAAAGGAAGTTCAATGCAGGGGAAATGACAATCTGACTGACGATGGTAGGGAATGAATGCAACTGACCGATGGCCGCATCACCTGAACTGACAACGTAGTTACTACGCCACTGGAATGATTGCATGGGAAGGAGTGCGTGGGAAATAATAATTTAATCTCACATTTCTCCGCATTGCACGTAGCTCCCAGAAAGTGAGACGCACACACTGCACCTTGCGTTCCTGGGTATCTACAAAGTTCTACAAATCGGGCTGAGCTTGTGAGATCCATCAAGATTGGTCAGTCCAGGAGATTCAATCCCAGGCACGAGAGTGTAGTTGTGTACAAGTGGTAGGACTAGGAGTGGTCTGGGGGAGAGGTAATGTAGTGGTCAGCGCACTGCGCCGCACACCTGGTGCGTGATCCAGGTTCCTGCTTACGGCCGAGGATCAGTGATGAGAATTTGAACTGACCCTGGTCTTCCCCAAGGCCGAATCGGCATTAAATAACAACCTGGAGCGGCGTGTAAAACTTCAGCTCTGGGGAGACAAAGGCAGCCGTGCTCGGAGCGAGTTGCATCTTCGTTGTGCTCGTGGGAGTATACATGCAGCGTCTGTGCGATCCCAGTTTGAATACCGCCCTTGGGTAACATCAGCGGCAAACATCTGAACCGGTGATGGGTTCGACTGGGCGTCAAATCAGCTCCTGGCGTGGTGTGTGAATGTCGTAGGGGCTGGGAAGGCCTTCATATTAGAGAGCTCGCAAGCAGCACTTGGCCCAAGAATCTGTGTAGGCTACACCAGGGGGCAGGGGCGGTGGGGAGCTTTGTCTTTGTCATTGTGGCAGGAGGAGGTTGTGGGGTCACGAGGAACGAACCCATGAACTCGAAGATGAGATAGATGTCACGGTCGTTGTCCGCGCGGATGATGTTCTTGAGTTTCACGATGTTGGGGTGGTCAAACTCCTGGTGACAGGGAGACCGAGGAAAGTCATCGATTGGCAATCTTAGAGTTGAAGAATCATAATTAATTCACCAAAAATTCGTACCTTGTAAGAAGGGCCATTGTTCAAAATGTCACCTATTATAACTGATAAGTGTTTTATTTTTATTATTATTAATTGTGCTTGTGCATCAGCATAACCTAAACATATATATATCTTCTTGGTTCTTTCGGTAAAGTCACGTAGAAGGGAAGTGAGAAATATATTATTATATATTATTATATAATAATATAACATTATATAATAATATAATATAAATGTATTATATTATATTTTTATATATTTTTTATATTATTTAATTATGTTTTATTTTTATTATTTTATTACTTCCATTCTACGTGAATTTACAGAAAGAACCAAGAAGATTAATCCCTGCAGTCACGAAAGCTTTAAATCGAAATATATATATAACTAATTAATTGGTCGTTCAAAACCGAAGCTCAAATGGGTGCAGAGCAGTGCTCAGCTCTGGTGGAAGAAATGAGCCAGTGGTGGACATTGCACATTCTCATGAGAAAGACCAGGCTACCAATAAGATGACCACCGTTAGCTTTGGATGGATGATGGTGCTGATAATAATAATGATGATGATATGATGAGCACATAAATGATGATTAAGATGAAACTGATGATCACAATGATGAAATGATGATTACCATGATAACAGGGATGATGATAGTTACGATGAAATAAACACTTTAAATTAGCTCACCTTTAAAAACATTACTTCTCGAAATGTTCTCTGTATAGAAAAATAAACCCACACACGCGCACACGCGCACGCATGATTAAAAATATACACGACATACATTGTACACACGCCACCTTACAAATACGCACATCTCTAAACACTCATACCACCATACTTTATCCATTACAAATTGACCAAAAATATTCTCAAATCTCATTTTGTGTTCAGGTTTCAAATGTGAGTTACCGGTTATTTGTGAACTTTCTCATAAATTCTGAAAGAAATATTTCATGCGGTCGCTGGTAGGGTGGAGTAGGAAAGTCTATAAGTCACAGCTGTAGCGAGGGGTAGACTGGATGTTGTATGCCGAGCCGGAGAAACCCGGTTGCAAATTAAAGCCTGCAGATTTGACCTTTGATCAATTGTAAAACTTTAGCTCGCCAGAAATCGAGTTTTCAATATTCATACCACAGACCAGGGGTCGGGAACCTTTTTGACTGGGAGAGCCATAAAAGCCAAATATTTCTAAATATCTTTCATTGATAGCCATATAGTATTTTTAACGTATAATAAATTAAATACGTCTTACTTTTAATGCGACTTGTGGTCACGGGACCCGTGACCCGTGAAATTTATCTTCAAAACTAATTTCTGTTTACTTTAAAATGACACAGTATTATTAAGCAATATTACAAGTTTTTTAAAATCAGTTCCAAACTGATTTTTTTTTAATAAAAAAAAAAAATTTTCAACTCAAAATTGTCTGGGAGCCATATGCCGTCACCGGAAGAGCCATATATGGCTCGCGAGCCATAGGTTCCCGACCGCTGCCACAGATAATCAATGATGGGGGAAATTGAGTGTTAGGAAAATAGAGTGACAAATAATTGCATTTCAGATTTCTGAGTATTGAGAAATCGAATGTTTAAAAATCGAGTTTTCGATACCGAATTGCAAATATTTGAGTCTCAGATTATTCAGCAGCTAATGAATCAAGTTGGAATATGACTTTACGGCAAGTAATATAATTCAGTTTTGCATAATCGAGTCTCTCATAATGGTTTTTGATAAGTGAGTTGGAGATCGTCGGATAACCAAATTACAGATGAGCAAGTTTGAGACAATCAGGTTACAAATGGGAGAGTTGAAGAGAAATGGAATTGAGGCTCTTTGGGTTTACAATAATCTAGCTGCATATTCTTAGGTTTTTTCGGTAAAGTCACGTAGGTAAAAAATTAAAATTAATAAAAGTAAAAAGTAAAAAAAAAAATCACGACGTTTCGGAGGCAACACAAGCTTCCGTCTTCAGGTGGAAACGTCACAGCACGATAGCTGTATCAAGTGAGATAAAATCCCAAGAAAACAGTACTTGTATATATACTGGTTGAGGGTGGGAGGAGCCAAGGTAGGCCCTGAATTTTTGTTTTTACTTTTATTATTTTTTTACCTACGTGACTTTACCGAAAAAACCTAAGAATATAAATCCTTGCAGTCACGAAAGCTTCAAATCTAGAATCCAGCTGCAGGTGCGAGGTGGATTCCCAGTCAAAATGGAACGTTGGGTCAACGTTGCAAGTTCACTGAGTTGTGGCATCGCAATAGCGCAAGAGGTGGTGGCGGCGGTGGCGGTGGCTTGTGGAAGCCTTCATCCAGCAGCGGATTGCCCCTGGCTGGCCACGCTGATGCTGTGCCGCTGATTCGGCTTGCCTGTGCGTCCGTACGGTTACGGAATGCGTCGAAAATTTTCTTGATGGCGACAACTTCTTCTGTAGTGCGGTCGATGGCCTTCCACACAATCCCATAGGCCTACACGCACACAGACATCACACACACACACACCGTTATACACACTACCTCCATGCATTTATATTTATACAGGCGACACAAAACACACGACTCTTTCCATAACCCTTCCACACAATCCCATAGGCCAACACGCACACAGACATCACACACACACACACACCGTTATACACACTACCTCCATGCATTTATATTTATACAGGCTACACAAAACACACGACTCTTTCCATAACCCTTCCACACAATCCCATAGGCCTACACGCACACAGACATCACACACACACACCGTTATACACACTACCTCCATGCATTTATATTTATACAGGCTACACAAAACACACGACTCTTTCCATAACCCTTCCACACAATCCCATAGGCCAACACGCACACAGACATCACACACACACACACACCGTTATACACACCTCCATACATTTATATTTATACAGGCGACACAAAACACACGACTCTTTCCATAACCCTTCCACAAAATCCCATAGGCCAACACGCACACAGACATCACACACACACACACACACCGTTATACACACTACCTCCATACATTTATATTTATACAGGCGACACAAAACACACGACTCTTTCCATAACCCTTCCACACAATCCCATAGGCCTACACGCACACAGACATCACACACACACCGTTATACACACCTCCATGCATTTATATTTATATAGGCGACACAAAACACACGACTCTTTCCATAACCCTTCCACACAATCCCATAGGCCTACACGCACACAGACATCACACACACACACCGTTATACACACTACCTCCATGCATTTATATTTATACAGGCGACACAAAACACACGACTCTTTCCATAACCCTTCCACACAATCCCATAGGCCGACACTCATAGACGTGAAGGCAAAGACAAAGATTCCACGCATAGCCTTAACAGGCGTTTGTGGCAAGTGTTGTTAGTGAGTACCTTTGAAGGCAACACAGCACACGAGGGAGTGGATGGCCATCCCACGCCCGGCCGCCTTTGTCTCCCCACTGGCAATGTTTACACACCACACCAGGTACGAATTTGTGACTGAGGCAACCTTGGGGAGGCTCAGCACCGGGTGGTTCAGATAATCGTCAATGGTGTGCTAACCACTGCGCCACCGCTCCCCATATTTTTACACAAAAACAAAGATCCCCTTATAGCCTTAACAGACTTTTGGTGCACACACACACACACACCACAATACAAACACACGCTACGTACACACACACACACACCACTCTTACCCTAACCCTTCAGCACCAACCGATACGCACACGGTAATCATCTCCATGTGTACATGACAATCAGCTAATCTGCATTGTGTGTGTACAATTACCCAGGCCATTTCAATGAATGAGAAGTAATTTGGGAATCTATGGTGGCCGTTTACGCAAATGACGTCTAACTACGGCGGGGGGGGGGGGGAGACCTTTACAGCTGATTATTCGGCTTTTCGACCGTTCAAGTGTCTCAATATGAATTTGTTTAGCCAAGTTGGGAAAAGTCATCAAGTCACCGGGGCTAGGATTGCGAGGGTGACCTTTACGCATCGAAATGACAGAAGCCAAACGAACAAAATAAAGTCACGAGGCAAGGAAGCAAACGTAAATCTGGACGACAACAACAACAACAACCGCGGCACGAGAGGCAATGAAAATACGGTATTGCAGGAACACAAATCGATGGCAAATACATTCCGTGTGACGCAAATCGGCTCGGGTAGATGAACCCTATCGATTTTAGATTTGAAGCTTTCGTGACTGCAATGATTCATATTGTTAGTTTTTTTTCGGTAAAGTCACGTAGGTAAAAAAATAAAAGTAAAATAAGAATAAAATAAAAATCACGACGTTTCGGAGGCAACACAAGCATCCGTCTTCAGGTGGAACCGTCACAGCACGATAGCTGTATCAAGTGAGAGTTTTACTTTTATTAATTTAACTTTTCTACCTACGTGACTTTACCGAAAAAACTAAGAATATGAACCCTATCGACTTATCACGACACAATTACAAATGGAGTCAACAAGCAGGTAACTATTGATCTTAGCATGCAATGAGAATAACTTATACTGGAGGAATCCGATGAGCTATGAAGCTCTTTTTAAATCCTTTATATTAAGTTCACTTGCTTGCTTGCGCGCTTACGACCGTGCAAATCTTTCGGTCGTTTTTTAACCCACTTCCCGTGATCCAATCGAGTTGACATTTTGCACACAGACTCGTTGTGCGTGACAATTTCTTTTAGTGAAAATTTTTTCCCCAAAATTTTACACTTTTTAGGAATTTTTTTTTTCATATTTTATTTAAAATACCAATGTGATAAAAATGAAACTCTTACTCAAGAAAAACAGAAATTAATAATAAAATAAAACTGATGCCACGCATATAAAGGATTTATAGTGAAAAACTTTGTTTTTACGGGTTAATTTTTTCACATGTCCAGTCGGGGCGTGTAAGATCGTTACAACAACAAACAAAACAAAGACACGATCATCGTGCGATCAGACAACGGCATGCGACTCACGTGCAAATTCCACCTTAAATTGACGCTGAGAATCTACGGTTTTGCACCGAATCGTGCCATTAAGATGGGAGAGTAAAGACACCAATGATTTCGATTTAAAGCTTTCGTGACTGCAGGGATTCATCTTCTTGGTTCTTTCGGTAAAGTCACGTAGAATGGAAATAATAAAAGAATACAAATAAAACATAATAAAAACGTCGTGAGAATAATTTTATTATGTTTTATTTTTATTATTTTATTATTTCCATTCTACGTGACTTTACCGAAAGAACCAAGAAGATGAACACCAATGATGTATTTGAAGCGAAGAAATCGGCGGTGTTTTGTGCACTCGTCCACAGGGAGCGAATGAGCACCACGTGATGTTTTGGGGGGCACGTGTTCGTTGGCAGGCAAAGGTGCAGCCCTGCAACTGCCTCCACTCGAGCCAGCTCTCGAGGGTATTTGGTCTACTCTTTCACGTTCACTAGGCATATCCAAAGAGGTGGGTGGACCCTTGGGAAAGTGGTGGGGGGGGGGGGTGCAGGGGGAGGGAGTCGTTCAATTTTAATGGGATTCCCCGTAGTGGGTATCGTTGTACATGCACACAAAGACAAAGAACCCCCGTATAGCCTTACCATACTTTTGGGGAAAGTGCTGTTAGCGAGCGTGGCCAGCACCACGCCTCGCTGTTTTTGTCTCCCAAGTGGCAATGTTTACACATTGCACCAGGTACTAAGTCGACTTACACACACACACTATACATAAACACGCGACATTGTGTACGTACACACAGAACAGCATTACCATAACCTCCCCATACAATATAATACATTACTGTATTGTGCTTGCACATGCATCAAAATAAACAAATACCATCAACCGCATCATCAGTATCATCACCAGGCCAATGCGCATACCTCCTTCATACATCAAAAAAACAGACACAATGTATGTATGTTCAACTTGTGATAATTGGTTTTTTGTGAGACTAGGCTCTAAGAAAAGCTGTCACATGGTACACCATGTGAGACTAGGCTCTAAGAAAAGCTGTCTCGGGTGTGGACCAATCAACTTCAAGGACAGTGCATACATTATCAGAGTTGTGTTTTTTGTTTGCATTATGACTGCAGGTATTGTGGTCTATGCAAACATGACTCCTCGCAAAAAAGGTGTCAGTTTTGTTGCCAGATAAAAGGGTAAAAAACCAATTATCATATTTTGCTACTGGCAAATGAGGTTCCAATGGTATGTTCAACTTATTTCGCACAATTCTTAGCCAACCTTGCCACAGCGTGAGACTGTGGCCATGCAAGGCAAACCATGGGCCAATACAGGAAACCCACACAGCCACATTGAGGTATGCAGAGGCCCACACAGATACAAAGAGACTCACAGAGACTCATAGAGACCCATAGAGGCCCTTAGGGATATATTGAAGACAAGCCACAGTTGAGCAATTGTGGCCACGAAACGCAAACTATGATCTGCGCCCAATGAACAGAGGGACAGCGACATGAACACTGTCTATGCTGAAGCCCTCTCATCGTGGCTAGCAGCAGCAGACCTCAACTCTGGCGTGGAGATCTTGAATCACATTTCTGCCACGCACAAGAATAGAAAAATCACTTTACCAGTGGCAAAATATAGTAATAGGTTTTTACCCTTTCAACTGGTACAAAAACTGACACTGAAAATCATTATCATTATCAGAGTTGTTTCTTTTGACTGCTTGTGTTGTGGTTATTGCAAACATGATGCCTTGTATAAAGGTGTCAGTTTTTGTACCAGTTGAAAGGGTAAAAACCTATTACTATTAAAACTACTACTCAAGTAAAAATATTGTTTACCAGGTAAGACCCACTGAACTTATAGCTCTTTTTCAGAAGCGACCTGGTCACAAATGATAGCTCAACGAAGTGGCTTGTCGTATGGACATTTATAGCAGCCAAATACTCCGAACTCGTGATGTTGATTCTAAATGTGGAGTACAAAACCAGAGGACCCGGAGAAAAATCCACGCAACCACCGAGAGAGCAAATTCCAAATATACAGCAGCAGACATCAGGGTCAGGATCGAACCCATGACATCATGTATACCAGGCGAGGGAGATAACATCTCACCACCGTGGTGCCCACACATACTTACACGCATATCACGATCTATCGATGGATAGATTGACGTTATTTTGTAGAACTTTGAGTTCTCCTTTTGAAGGGCGACCCGAGTCATAGATTTGCAACGATCTACACCAACATGTAAATAATCTGCAATAGGAGCTTTTCGTATGGAGCCAAATGCAAAACAACACCATTAGGAAATTGCACACAATACACTCAAACGTCTGTCCATATGCACGTAAACATACATACACAGAGACAAAGATACCCCGTGCAGCCTTCACGAATTGTCGGGGCAAGTGCTGATAACGAGTAGCTCCGATGAAGGAGACACGGCACACGAGGGGGTGGTGTGGT